TACCACTTAATTTTGCTGTTGTTGATGAAGAAATCCACCGATGGGTGAAAATGATAAAAACCAATCTCCTCTGCATCACCATTGTGGTTCCAGAAAACTATGGAGTAAGATCCATATGTTGGGTCACCATACTCATCAAACGTAATACTTTGGTTTAAGAGTGTAAAGTTTGACTTCTTCAGCTCGGCAAGGACCTGATGTGGGTAAACAAAGTACAAACAGGCATTACTTTTATGTGTTCAGATATTACATTATAGATACATGTCATCACAAGCATTCAGATAATCCAAGGAGTCATGTTTAAGTACTCAGAGAAAATAAAAACTTAAAACAATTTGTATACTTACCATGTGTGGAAACACTGTAATATTGCCATTACATCTGTTAGAGTCACACTGCAAGGCATTATGCAAGGCATGAGCGATGGCATACACAGCAGAATACACCGGAAAAGAGTAAGTTGGGTCCACAGAAAGGATTTCTTCTGCACTGAGGTCACTGCAGTTGCAAACCTGATTACAAAATCTATGTTTTTGTTTGTTTTCAGAATATGTCTTGCTTTTAGTAGAAAACACAAAATCACTGAAACCTGGTATTTTTACTACTGGTTGAGACACTCCAAGTACAGTTCCAATATTTTTGATGCCTTTTTCTTTTGGGAGCCTCTTGTTTAAGGACCATGCATCTCCTGCTATCCACACTTTTTGTGTGATATTCAGTTGTATTGCTGACATAATGAGAGTTTCAGCAGTCATTTTTGGAGCAAAAACAATAACAGCATGTATCCCCTGTAACTCTATCTGTTTGAACATTTGGGAATAACTTGTACTGTCCTCCAGACTTTTGGCATACGCCAGACAGATTGTAGTATCCTTGATCCTTTTTAAGAACAATTCCCGTCCATCATAGCCATAATCATTGTCACTATGAAGGAAAGCAACCCAGCGCCAGTTGAAGTGCAGCACAATATTAACAATCCCTTCTATGACATTTTTATTGGAATGCACTGTTCGTAGGAAAGAGGGGAATTTAGCTTTCTTTGAAAAGAAACTACTAGAAGATCCGTAATTGACCTGTCAAAGGTTGAAACAAAAAAACATAATTTTCAGTGACATTAAAATGCATTTGAAAGTAAAAGATTGTATATTATAATATAAATCCTTTCTTTTAACTTACCATGGGAATGAGATCCGTCATGAATAGTGGGGCTACAGTCAGAGACTGAGTGCTTGTAAAAGGACCGACCACTGCAATCACTTTGGACACCTCAGAATGAGTTGTTTGATGCTTTTGTGGCTCAGCCCATGGTTGGATCAATCCATTGACTGAGATCAGCTTGAAAATTCCTGGAAAATTCTGTCCATCTGAGCAGTGATCAAACATCTCATAACCAAGAGACACATTTGGCAGTAGGTTCGTTGAGTTATTGATTTTCTCTACAGAGAATCTCATCAGCTGAAACCTCCGATAATTTTGCAGAAGGAAGGGTTGACTGAAGACACGGAGGACAACAGAAGTTTACTAGACACTATATGACAAAATGCAGCTTTAGAAAAGTCTTACTATGCATTTGCTCAGTGCTGCATGATTTTTGTACAAGGAATGAGGCCCTGATGCCATGCAATGCTATATTGTTAAGTAATTTGATCAACGGAGTACTTACCAGGAAAAATTGCATGGTTATTTTCAGTTGGTAGTTTTTCTTTTATTTCATTTTATATACAGTACATTTTGAGTCAACACGATTTATTAAAAGACTAACCTTGAGCACTGGATTGTTTCTGGTCTGTCATGATGAACAGGGTTGCTGACATAATGAATCTCAAAAAGTCCACCAATCAAATAATCTCCATCACGCTGAAACTCTGAGGCTGGGACATTGCATTGAGCCAAAGCATGAAGAAACGTTCTCAAAAGACAGATAAAAGCAAGACAATGTTTCATTGTTCAAGCTTTTGTTGAAAAATCTGTTGTGAACTACAATGGGATTTGCCCCTGCTTTTATTCACTTATTAGACAAAGGTGTTGGTTTAACCCTTAATTTCCATGAATTTGGGAGTATATTAGGTGTCAAAAATCTGAAATGTATTAATGCTTTGGGAGAACATACAAATCAGTATGCAAAAATCCTCCCTACTGCTTCTGCAGATTACCACAGAGGGTTCAACAATTGACATAAGCAAGCATGTTAAATGTTTCTATCATGAATAAATCTGGGATAAAGAAGTTCCATTCTGAATTTGAAATTAACACTTCACTTTAGTTTTTAACACACCGTATTTTAGAATGACTAAAAACCACTTCTGTCAGTTAAACAGGTGTCATTATATCGTGTTATTCTTAAAGCTTTGCGATAGCCAGGATGATGCTTAGGAAAAAAAAAATCTTGATAAAATAATTTTTAAGTCTGTCAATCAACAAGTCTTGCAGGGGATGTTTTAAGATTAAATTGCCTTTTAACGAGAGTTATACAATGATTACAATCTAAAGCAAAAATGAGCTTATAACATTATACAGGATAGACTAATAAGCAAAATACACACCATTTAATCAAAGTCAATGCTCTATCATTGCTATAAAGCTGACTCCTCTGACAAATGATCCATGCGCAATTTAACTTTGGACCACAATGGTAATTTGAAATAGGAAAATTTGCAGCAACACAGCTCTTGAAAGGGACTAATGGACAGGACTCCTACCAGAATTTGAATTCAGACAACTTGCTGGTGGGGGATGGAGAACTTCTTGTTCCCTCCCGTTCAGAATAGAGTCAATCCAAAATTAAATAAGAAGCCCTTTACAGATCGCAATTCCCTAACAACGCCATAACAAAGTTGCTGTTAATACACCTTTGTACTTACACATTGCATCTCCAACAGCCTAATATTGGCGCCCCAGTGTGTGGTTTCACAATGCGTTAGGGTATTGACCAAATGGAAGAGGCATGAAATGGAAACATACTGTGGGAGCTACACATATACACACACTCTAGCATGCATGCACACACACACACACACACACACACACACACACACACACACACACACACACACACACACACACACACACACACAGCTGTACTTCCCTGCAGTCACGAGTCTGCTTCCTCCACAAAGGATCATTGGCCGAGTTAAGGAGATCTTTAAAATGGTCTTTCCCCTGATTGAAAACCCCCCTCGTTCAGTGTCAGTAGCCTTCCTCCTTTGCTTAAAGCCACCTAAGCCAAGCCCTGCTTTCCCATCTGATGTCAAACCTGAAGTTCTTCACCATGGTCTTCCTGAACCTCTCTTATGGTTTTACTTTGTTAAACAACCATATATCAACTCGTCAGGCCCACTGGTACATATCAAACGCTTAAGGGGCCCACTGGGCTAACCAAGCTTAACAGGAAGTACAGAAATAATCTGTAATCAAGTATTGTAGGAAAAGCTTTGGTGCTTGGACCCTACTGGGTGATATTGTAATTGTAATAGAAAATACTAGTCAGCATGTTTGATAGCAGTGCAGAATGGCATAAGAAGTGAGCAAAAGCTTATGAAAACAAGTCAAAGCAATTTTATGGCAAGTGTATTTTATTTATGAAGTATCACACATAACAACGTCAGTGTCTTTAGATGTTGTCCAGCAACAGAAATGCTATTTCATACATACCTGATTTACTTTATAGGAAAAAGAATGAAAGAAAGCACTGGGTGAGCAAAATAATAGGAATCCCTCTCCTATGCATGTGTGTACAAAATAAACAAACAACAAAATTACATTCTAGGTAAGTAATTGCATAAAAAATATATGAAAATGAATTCCATGAAAATAAATGTAACTTTTTTAAACATATGAAGAATATTTTTGCTTGTTTTTGCTTTTGTTGTTAGTTTTCTGTTCACCTTGTCACCTATAAATAAATAATAGTAATAATATAAAAATAAAGTATTGAAAACAAACTCTGAGGCAACAAGTAGCAGTCAATCACAGCAGAGCACAGGAGGGGAGGATTAGGTGAGCACTATTGGGGAAAATAACACACTTGCAAATAATATTACTGTACTCAACTCCACTTCACAAAGATTGTATAATAACATACAAACCAGTTTCAACCATTTGTCCTTAAAACTTAAATCAGCCTTAATGTTTACACTCTCAGATTTACATAAAAAAATTACTGAATAATTAAAGTATATCATGCTTTTCTCCTGCACAGTGGACAACTTGAGTAAAAGGGGAAAAAAACTTTCAAACAACAAAAAAAAGGTTGCAGTGGTTTTCAGAAAGTCTTAAGTTATCAAGTCTGAAACCAACCCAACAGAGTTATAATGGAAACAGATGCAAGGCATATAGAAGTGTAATGATGATCACTAACTAGAGTTTTAATTTATATTTTAAAGAACAGAATGGAATACTCTGAACTATCCAGACAGACCTGTATTCTGAGAATGGAGGCATCCTTAGCATGGATGATAATGCATAAAGAGATCAGACAAACTAAGGGGTGAACCTGTTCAGTTATATGACATGACAGCACCAAAAATGTGTTATGATAGAAAGCAATAAAGCCAGTTTAACTTATTGTGTCAAAGTTCTGGTCAAAATGGCAGACCATATTGCTCACACCTTATGTATCCAAAAAGGTATACACACAAATCATAAAATTGTGCACAGTAGCATTTATTTATTACCAAGATTACAAGTTTGATAAATGTTGTAGAATTGACTTTGGGACTTTTACATTTGTATCGACGGAATAAATAATACATAACTGATAAGATAATATTTCTGTTTTATGTACGGTGCACATTGAATCTTACTGTTATCAAGATTAAAAGCAAATATGGGCTTGTGTTTGTGTTTGTACATTAGTTCAGATGAATTTACAACACAGAAAGACAAATATTCAGACTACTTACTGCTTACTTTTCTACTGTAAAATGACAAATTAGAAAGTTATCAAAAGCCCTTAATAACATCAGATTCTCTGCCTGTAGAAACACATTAACTGTTGGCGACTACTGGCTAATTGTTTTGGTGTAATTCTGAATGAGACCTTGGAAGTATTGCTGCGTGTTTTTGTGTGGTTGAAACATCATGATGTAACATTTAGGGAAGAAATACCACAACAGAAAGGAATAGAGACTAGAGAGTACTGCCAGGGCGTTAAGAGTTTGGATGTACTTTCCTTTGTAAAGCACTTGTACAGTAGCAAAAATAATCCAGGTGAGGATTAACAGGAGCAGACAGAAGGTTATCGATTTTGCCTCATTGTAGTTTTTTGGGAGGTTTTTTCCCATGTAGGAGAAAATGAAGCAAAGAAAGCACAAAAATACAAGTACAAATGCAGAACCAGAGAATGCTTCAAATTTAGTGTCACAACTAAGTATAATTTTTTCTTGGGACCAAACTGTTTCATTATAGGGCTTTGGGGGGGCAGACAAATGGGCAATGCCAAGTAAGAATGCCTGCGTAACAAAAGCTACTGTGATAATCAGCCATTGTCCTTGATATTTCATCCACCAACTGTAGAGCTTTGGGAACTTGGCGGCCATTTTGAAAATGCAAACAATTTGAAAAGAGCGCACAACAAAACATGCCAAACAAACCGTGTAAAACAAAATAAATGGCAACGACCTTAAAATACAAGAGGAAGTTGTTGGCTTGCCAAAGTAAAAGAACACACTTAGACTACACAGACTGAGGCAGCCTAAAATGAGGAAGCACATTGGTCCACCAGCAGATCTGACTACAGGGGTGTTGTAGTTGATGGCAAAGAGAACAGACATGGCAATTGAAAGAACCACCAAGGCCCAGGATCCGGCTATGATCAGTATAGCACCGATGTCTGTGAATGGAATGTACTCCACTGACCGCAGATTGCATGATGTACTTCCTTCTGTAGACCATTCTGTGTCTTTACAGTTCATGCAATTATAGGGATCTTGTGGTTTGCATTCAAGAAAAAAAAAGTTTGTTATGAAAACAAAGATTTATGTTAGTGAAAGATCTAAGAAAGCAATGTTACAGTTTAAATATTTCATAATGTCAAGTCATGTCAATTTAATTTATGTTTCATAGTCTTACAAACAACAGGACTCAAGGGGCTTTTACAATCTTAACAAGATGAAAACAAACATACACTCTACATTAAAATAGGACTAAAATGCTGCTGCAATTTGTTATTTAATTCCCACAAAGATAAATGAATATAGCTGCTAAATCCTTATCCGACCTTTATTAGAACAAAGTTGTTCCAACATTTGCCAGTTTGCTGTTTACATTTCTGATATAATCTCTAATCATGGCTGAAAAATGCCGGTTCACTTTACAAATTTCATTAAAATGCAGCTAAATGTGACATATGTGAATAGTATTTTTGTGTAAAGGGAAACTGATATCAGATTGACTGCCTTAGTGGTTGCAACCAACCAACCAACCAACCAACCAGCCAGCCAACCAACCAACCAAACAACCAGTCAATCAATCAATCAATCAACCAACCAACCGACTCGCCAACCAGTCAATCAATCAACCAGTCAATCAATCAACCAACTAACCAACCAACCAACCAACCAACCAACCAGTCAATCAAACCAACCAGCCAACCAACCAACCAACCAACCAACCTGCCAACCAACTAACCAACCAACCAACCAGCCAACCAGTCAATCAACCAACCAACCAACCAACCAACCAACCGGCCAAGCAACCGGCCAACTAACCAAGCAACCGGCCAACCAAGCAACCAACCAGTAAATCAACCAACTAGCCAACTAACCAACCAACCCACCAACCAGTCAATCAACCAACCAACCAACCATCCAACCAGTTAATCAACCAACCAACCAACCAACCAACCAACCAGCCAACCAACCAACCAAGCAACCGGCCAACTAATCAAGCAACCGGCAACCCACCAAACCAACCAACCAACCAACCAGCCAACTAACCAACCAATTCATCCATCAATCAATTAATCATTTTTATATAATGGCAAATCCCAACAAAAGTAGACTTATCACAATGTATATATAGAACATTTCTAGAATGCCTTAAGGAAGACCGGAATGCCTAACTTTGTCTAAAGACCTAATTTGTGGTGGACGGGACTGCAACAGAGCAGGTTGTAACTCTGCTTCAAAAGTATATAGACTTTGTTGGCAGTGATCACCAAGCAGAAAAATGAACTGTCCTACTGTATCTAACTGTTCTATACTTACATGCAAATTATGTTATTGTGTTATTGCACAATCCTTTTGTCAGTAAAGTAGCAGCCATAGCGCTTGCCGAGCTAAAGTAAAAATATTATAAACCCCCCCCACAGAATTACTTGTACACACCTCAGCTCAATAATTTGCCCCAAGAAGTTTCAGTAAGCATCTTTTAATCTCAATTAAATTCTCACATTTGATGGTCACATACACTTTTTGCCAACAAGTCTATCGCTGTCAGTATAAATTTAATCTAAACAATATCCATCCTCAATGAACAGGATGTTTTAGAATTACAGTTTTTTTTCAACATTAACACAGTAAGCTCTGATTCCTTAGTCTTTGCCACAGAAATTATGTTATCTAAAATCAGAATATGAATGATGCAACAGTTTGTTTTTTTCTTGTTATTTACCTGTGGTGTTTATGAAAGTTCCATTTGGACAGATTTCACAAGTGAAGCAACATTTGTGGATTCCATTTTGTTTTCTTGCATGACCTTTAGGACACTCTGGGGTGCAGAATGAAGAAGGCACCTGTAAAAGACTGTTTTTTAGCAAAATGATATATCTATTTATCTGTTCAATTGCGCTTTTTACGCTGCAGGTCACACTTACCCATTCACACCACTTACACACACAAAGTGTCCATCAGTATTAACTAATCCCATTCAAACACATTCACACACCGCTGACACCCTCCATCTTCTGGTTTAGAGCCGACCGACCACTGAGCTACAGCCGCCCCACAATGAATATCCATTTCAACATCGCACCGCAAACACAGTCAAATCAATACACTCTCTTACATCATAATCTGCCTTAACTGTTTACATCGGGCAGATATCATTAGAATTGAGATAAAATAGCTTACCTCTCCATTTTTGCCCCACTTAATTTTGGTGTTGTTAATGAAGAAATTCACAGATGGGTGAAAATGATAAAAACCGATTTCCTCTGCATCACCACTGTTATTCCAAAAAACTATAGAAAAGGGTCCATACTTCGGGTCCCCATTCTCATCAAACTTAATACTTTGGTTTAAGAGTGTGAAGTTTGACTTCTTCATCTCTGCCAGAACCTAATGTGGGTAAACAAAGTTTATGTGACAATTACAATACTCCACAATTCACTTATTCTTAATGTAGAGAAACAGTTGTGCGATGCCCCCTTTTGGAGGAAGACTTTATAACTAACTGAATTCTTTTCATCGAGATTTTGACGCCTCGATAATGTTTGAAAGGTAAGAAGATTAAAAAATTATTACATTTCAAATGTACAGGTTTAGAGAAACTGAATCAAAATGCTTTATTTTATAACTTAACAAACAAAAATATACATTTGCAAATTGCCTAGATACTCGGATTACTCATGTACTTACCATATAAGGGTATACTGTAATGTTTCTATTACAGTGGTCAGCTCCACATTGCAAGGTATTATGTAAGGCATGAGCAATTGCATGTACAGCAGAATACACAGAAAAGGAGAAGGATGGGTCACCAGCAAGGATTTCTTCTGCACTAAGAATACTACAGTTGAAAAACTGATTACAAAATGTATTTTTTTCTGCATTTTTACAGTGAGTCTGGCTTCTTGCAGAATAGATAAAATCACTGAATCCAGGTATTGATACTACTGGTTGAGACACCCCAAGTACAGTTCCAATATTTTCTATTCCTTTCTCCTTGGGGAGCCTCTTGTTTAAGGACCACCCATCGTCTGCTATCCACACTTTTTGTGTCACATTTAATTGTATCGCTGACATAATGAGAGCTTCGGCATTAATTTTAGGAGCAAAAACAATGATGACGTTGATCCTCAGTGCCTCTATGTGTTTGAATATCTGTGGGTAATTTGTACTGTAGCCGAGACCTGTGGTATACGGCAGACAGATCTCTGTATCCTTGATCCTTCTGGTGAACATTTCCAGTCCATCATTGCCAAAATCATTGTCACTGTGAAGAAAAGCAACCCAGCGCCAGTGGAAGTGCACCATCATACTAACAATCACTTCTATGACATCTTTATTGGGATGCACTGTTCGTAGGAAAGAGGGGAATTTTGCTTTTCGTGAAAAGAAAGAACTAGAAGATCCATAACTGACCTGTAAAAAAAGAGTTATAGAAAATAATGATCAGGGAAATTTTATCGTGATTAACATTTAAACACTAATGAAATAAACAATCTTTTAAGGACTAGTTATTTCTGATTTTTTTTTTTTTTTGCAGAATTATTAAAAAAATTACCATTGGAATGAGATCCGTCATGAATAGTGGGGCAATAGTCAGGGCCTGAGTGCTTGTAAAAGGACCGACCACTGCTATCACTTTGGATACATCAGTATTATTTGTTTGTTGCTTTTGTGGCTCATTCCATGGTTGGATCAATCCATTGACTGAAATGAGGTTGAAAATTCCTGGATAATTCTGTGTATCGGAGCAGTGATCAAATATCTCAAAGCCAAGGGAAATTTTTGGTAGTAAGTTTGTTGAGTTATTGATTTCCTCTACAGAGAATCTCATCAACTGAAACCTCCGATAATTTGGCAGAAGGAAGTGTTGACTGAAGACACAGAAAAGAACAGGGGAGTAGACATTACTTAATGGTAGCACTTGATCACAATACTGGTACAACAGCCGATAAGCACTTTGCTTTTAAGTATCTTAACTTCAGTAACTATTCACTCAGATTTATGGTTAGACTCACCTCGAGCATTCAGTGGTTTCTGGTCTGCCGTGATAAACAGGGGCACTGACATGATGAATATCAAAAAGTCCACCTATCAAATAATCTCCTTCCAGCTGAAACTCTGAGCCTTGGACAGTGCATTGAGTCAAAGGATGACGAAGTGATCCCAGGAGAAAAAGAGAAGTAAGAAAATGTAACATCTTTTTTCTAACCTCTTATTAGGATATGACTCTGTCTTTAAGTTGAGACACTGGTTGACACTGGTCATTATCATTCATCAGGGAAAGAAATACCAATAGATGGTTGGAAGAGAATTCACAAATCAGTATGCAAAAGCATCTTCTGCCGCACACAGTCCATGTGATGTACACAGGGTATTCAGATTGTATGAACACACAATTAAACAAATGTAGTTATCCGTTAAAAAACAATGAAGAATTGGAATATTATTATTATTTTTTTAACAAAAATGACTAAACTTTATGTATTTATTTAAAGTCAGTGTTTTTGACAGACATACCAAAATCAATACGGACAACAACACTAATGATTTTAACTGTTGAAAAATCCAAAGCTTTTCTTTGCTTAAATGTATGGGCAAGCTGGCATGCTTTGTTATACCACTATAGTTTTTAATGACCTTAAGAACTTTCTTTAAAAATGTCATTTAAGCACTTAACCAAGTACAATTTGCGCTTATTTGGTTCAAAATATGTTTTGACAGATATAATGCTGGAACAAGTTAAAGTAATGCAGTGCAATTTTTGTAATATTTACCATGTTAACAATCTTTCTTGTTTTCTTCTTATTAGAACCAAGCACAATTCGATGTTGGTATAACATGAGAAATCAGGGTATAATCAGAGTAATAGGGATTCATCATAAATGGTAATGTTTTGACAAAATGTAAGGGTAAAGTCATGTGTGTGTGGACTGACTTTCCCTTCTCAGAAATTAAAACACAGGGCTTCCCCTTCCAGTCTATTCACTACATAGAAAACATAAGGTTTTGATAATGCCCCATGTGGCCTGACTGAACAGAAATCCATTAGTGGCTTAAATTAGAAGTTTGATTTTTTTCCCCAAAAAAAGATTTACACAGAAAATGAAATTGTTGTGGTGTTTTACTGCAAAAAAAAATCAACACAGAAATCACGTGTTGACAGCACTACTTAAAGGCTTTATATACGATTTTTTGATCCAGCAGTTGTTGCCCTTGAGCACCAGAATGAAATCAAAACAACTTGCGCTGCATTGTTGTGTTAGCATGCTAATGCTAGTGATCTTTATTATGCTCGTATCTTCACACTGCATGTAAATTTACCCAACTGGCCATGATCTAGAAACACAGTTAAGCAGTGAGTACAGTATGTTATTCTTCTTTTCTCTAGTCCCTCAATTAAACAACTTTTATACACAAGAGGAGGAGTCAGCCGGCCGTCCTGGCGATGTAAACAAACTGAAGACAGGACTCGGAAACTCGGAAAACATCACAGACAGTGGGACTCGGGTGTTACACTCATTGTAGACAGTCATGGCTCATAGTTATTTTCAGAGGATATACTTGATTTCTGTTACATTTAAGCCTTTAAACAACCAAGACAATTGGCAATAGTAGGGTGTTGAATAATAAAAAATAACAAAAAATGCTAAATTAAATATGTAACTGTACATACGATTATTTGTGAAGTTTCAGAAATTGCTTATATTTCAGCCAGGAAAGTGCAAGATATCACCTAGAGACTGCATATGTTTATAGTATAAGATGCAGAGAAAGAAGCCTTTGCTGATCTAATGGAGTCAGTTGTCAGTTCAATATCCACTATTGACTGTTTTCATGTATAGCTTATAGTAATCTATAGTTTACTAACAATGATATAAAATATAAGTCATCCTTGGATGTAATTATGTTCCATTTTATACAACTAACTGCTGATAACAAAAATGGTTAACCTATTTCTACATTCTGATGTGGATCTTTGAAAGCAATCAGTTTGAAAATTACATTAATGGTCAATGGACTTGAACATGTAAAGTGTTTTTTAGTCTTGTGAGTACTCAAAGCGATTTTTTCTCTTTACATTATAAATGCTTCATCTGGGTTTATATAGGAAACAACCCATGGACTTTCATTGTTATGCAGATGATACTTATCCCAGCCTGATGACACCAATTGGTTATGGAAACTAGAAGCATGCCTTAAGGACGTTAGGACCTGGATGACCATACATTTATTGCTGCTTAACTCAGACTAGTCGGTTATTGTGCTTAGCCCTAAAAACCTCAGAGAGACTTTTTCTAATGATATGACTGTCCTTAATGGCATCAGCCTGGCATCTAGCACCACTGTTAGGAATCTAGGAGTTCTATTTGATCAAGATATGTCCTTTAGCTCTCACGTCAGGCAAATTTCAAGAACGGCCTATTTTCACCCTCGTAATATATCTAAGATCAGGAATATCCTGTCGCAAAATGATGCAGAAAAACTAGTTCATGCATTTGTTACCTTCAGGTTGGATTATTGTAACTCTCTTTTGTCAGGGTGCTCTGGTAAGTCTCTAAAGACTCCTCAACTAGTCCAGAATGCTGCAGCTTGTGTACTGACTAGAACTGGGAAAAGGGACCACATTACTCCTGTGTTTGCTTCTCTGCACTGGCTCCCTATACAGTCTAGAATAGAATTCAAGATCCTTCTTCTCACTTACAAAGCTCTAAATGGCCAGGCACCATCTTATCCTAAGGAGCTACTAGGGCCATACTACCCTTTGAGAACATTACGTTCCCAGAATGCAGGCCTGATAGTGGTACCTACCGTCTCTAACTGTACTATGGGAGGTAAAGCCTTCAGTTATCAAGCCTGCTGGTGGTACCTACAGTCTCTAAATGTACTATGGGAGGTAGAGCCTTCAGTTATCAGGCTCCTCTCCTCTGGAATCATCCACCAGTCAGGGTCCAGGAGGCAGACACACTCTGTACCTTTAAGAATAGACTTAAAACTTTCCTTTTTGATAAAGCTTATAGTTAGGGCAAGTGCAGGTATGGACCAGCTCCTAGTTATGCTGCTATAGTTTTCGACTGCTGGGTGAACTGGCACCTTGAGCTCTATTCTCTCCCTCTCTCCCCCTCTCTCTGTGCATTGACATTTAAGAACAATAATTTATCCTGTTGAAGGGAATGTCTCATACTTGAATTGCCCTTAGAAAGAAATTCTAACCCCTATCCTAACCCTTGTAGTGACAAATTGTGGGGATTATGGGATTATGGGATAGACTCACAAGCAAATACTCACATTTTATTAATTCAAACTAGAATTGTTGGTTTATGCTTGAAGGCCACTTCCTCATACAAATAATCCTTGCATGATTTAACATTGGACCACACATTTGAAAAAGGGAAATCACTCAACATGCAAGGGACAAATGGCCACAAATCCAACATTTGAATTCAGGCTATGTCCTGGAGGAAACTCATTGTTATGCTCTGTTGGAAGGAAAAAGCTTCCATCAAGTGAGACAGATACTGACTCAATTAAAAAACTGAATCAACTTTAAGCTTTAAGGTGAATCAACTTTAAGCTTTTACACCGACTTCTGTAGACGCAAAACGTTAAATCAAATTAACTCGATCTTTTTCTGAATATGAGCAATGTGTAATAAAAGTACACATTATTATGGTCCAGGAACCCAGGTGAAAATAAAATCTCTGCTGTGCATTTTCCATTAAACTCATCCACTTGTCATTGTGAGAAACTAAGTGCATACCAAAAGTGTCTTACTTTGGAATAACTATAAATAAGTGTTCTTTATTTCAATGGAACCAATAATGTAAACCTTTTTTTGTAGATGGAATGAATTACCTTTAATAAAACCTTTATTTTCATGTGTGATATACAGTACTCTCTAGCTATTGTCTTTACATAATGTGTTACTTTTATATGAATCCATTTAGACTTTTATAGTATATCAGTTCATCATCGATTAACAAGCATTTTTTTCAAAAGCCTTAAATATAAGAATAGCTCAAAATTTCTGTTCGAACAAATCGATAATATTCTGATAAAGTGTGGACTACAGAAACGCAAGGAATACAATGGAGAAATCCTTCATGCATATTATCCCATATCATCTTTTGTAAAGCGTCGCAAGATAACATTCATTCATGGTTATGAATTGGGACTATCCAAATATTGATTGATTGAATGATTGAATGATTGAATGATTGAATGATTGAATGATTGCTTGATTGATTGGTTGATTGATAAACAAAAAACAGTAGAAATACATTTGATTGTATTTTTGAATTTCAGCATATAATATAGAGGAAAGTTCATCAAATCTCAAAGATATTGACTATTTGGATGCTTTTGCCAATCGTAGAACCCTGCTTAAGCAAACTTTAAATAAAAGTGTATTATGGGGAAAAATAGCCTCAATAAAATGCATGTTATCTGTAAGTGTAAAAATAGTTGACTCAAACAGGGATCGGTCTGTCTGTCTGTGTGTGTGTGTGTGTCTGTCTGTCTGTCTGCCTGTCTGTGTGTCTGTCTGCCTGTCCGTCTGTCTGTGTCTGTCTGTGTGTCTGTCTGTCTGTCTGTGTGTCTGTCTGTCTGTCTGTCTGTCTGTGTGTGTGTGTGTGTGTCTGTCTGTCTGTCTGTCTGTCTGTCTGTGTTTCTGTCTGTCTGTCTCTGTGTGTCTGTCTGTCTGTCTGTCTGCCTGTCTGTCTGTGTGTGTGTCTGTGTGTGTGTCTGTCTGTCTGTCTGTCTGTCTGTCTGTGTTTCTGTCTGTCTGTCTGTCTCTGTGTGTGTGTCTGTCTGTCTGTCTGTCTGTCTGTCTGTCTGTCTGTCTCTTAAGATCTCAAGAAAAAAGGTTTTTCCATCATGTTAATAATGCACTATGGGGTGCTGATAGCACAGTGGTTAGAGCGCGCACCCCATGTGTGGAGGCTATGGTCCTCCAAGCGAGCGGCCCGGGTTTGAGTCCGACCTGTGGCTCCTTTCCCGCATGTCATTCCCTACTCTCTCTCCCTGATTTCCATCTCTATCCACTGTCATATCTCTCTAAGAAAAGGCACAAAATGCCCAAAAATAAATCTTAAAAAATTAAAAAAATTAAATGTACTATAACTCTGCATGTTGCCATGATGTGCTTAGATCAGTATTTCACACAGAAAATGCATATTACAATTGTATCCATATTTTAATTAATTGACTTTAACAAACAATTTACTTGACATGATTTACATTTTAAGATTCTAAGGTATTTAAAACATTTACAGTAACAAGATGTAAATATGTCTCTTTACAGGAAAACTGCAATAATCACAAGAACATACAAGTTTATTCATTCAAAAGCAAAGGTAAAAATCATCTCAACAGCTCTTTCTTCAGTTATTAAAGTTAGCCCTGGAAGTGTTTATACACTGATGACTGGTTCAATAATGTATATGTTTACTTTATTGAGTGCAGAAATGTACATTTCCCTGTACAGTTTGTTGTCTTACATGTGACTTGCATGCTAAGTAATTCAACAAAATAAGCTATTAGTACTTTTTTTAACTACATTACTATTTTTCTCCATATGATTCTAATATTTTTCCTTTTTGAAAATACATTACTGAACTCTCTACATGTGAGTAGTAATACCATTCATATATTTTAAGAATGACACTACAGCCAGTGACTGAGTAGATTAGGGGGGCAAATAAACTGTATTTGTTGTGTATGAAATACATCGCTATAGGCTGTGTCTAAAAGTAATAAAAAATCCTACTAGCACATCAAAGGCTCACAATTAACATATTTTATTATGTTAATATATTCTTTGTTGTGGTAAATTCAACCTTTACCAATACCTGCAAAAATACGTTTTTCCATCAATAGGAACCTCACAAAATACAGAGTGAAGAGTTCGACATTCACTATTACTGATTTAATGTGTCAGCTATATAAAAAAAACATACTATAATGAGTTTCATGCAAAGGACTGATTTTAGATATACATTTTTTTAAACAATATTTGTTGATGCATTACAACAACATAATTAAACTATGATAACAAAAAAAACATAAAGCTGTTCTCAAAGCACACAAAAATACACACATACAAATGTTAACCCTCTTGTAATATTTATTATGGCCTGAAGTTTTTCTTTCAGTTTATTAAGTCATATTTACTTAGTTACTGACTCATTGTTTTTGTATAATTCTGAATGAGACCTTGGAAATGCTGCTGTGTATTTTTGTGTGGTTGAAAAATAATGATATAACATTTTGGGAGGAAATACCACAACAGGAAGCAGTAAAGGCTGGAGAGAACTGCCAAAGCATTAAGAGTTTGGATGTACTTGCCATGGTAAAGCATGTATTCAGTAGCAAAGATGATCCAGGTGAGTATAAGCAGGAGTAAGCAGAAGGTTATCGCTTTGGCCTCATTGTAATTTTTTGGGAGGTCTTTCCCCATGTAGGAGAAAATGAAGCAGAGGAAGCACAAAAATACAAGTAAAATCACAGAAATAGAGGTTGCGTCAAGGTCAATTTCACAACTAAGTATGATTTTGTCAGGGTACACAACTGTTTCATTGTAGGGCCTGGGGGGAGAATAAAAATAGCCAAAAAGGAGTAAGAATGCCTGTGTAACAAAAGCCACTGTGATAATCAGCCATTGTCCATGATACTTCATCCACCAACTGTAGAGCTTTGGGAACTTGGCGGCCATTTTGAAAATGCAAACAATTTGAAAAGAGCGCACAACGAAAGAAGCCAAACAAACCGTGTAGAACAAAAGGAATGGCAAGAACCTTAAAATACAAGAGGAAGTTGTTGGCGTACCAAAGTAAAAGAACACACTTAGACTACACAGACTGAGGCAGCCTAAAATGAGGAAGCACATTGGTCCACCAGCAGATCTGACTACAGGGGTGTTGTAGTTGATGGCAAAGAGAACAGACATGGCAAGTGAGAGACCCACCAAGGCCACAGCCCCGAACATGATCAGTACAGCTCCGATGTCTGTGAATGGGATGTACTCCACTGACCGCAGATTGCATGATGTACTTCCTGGTTCAGACCATTCTGTGTATGTACAATTGATGCATTTGTAGGGATCCTCTGTTTGATACAGAAGAAGGACAGATGTCCAAAAAAGTTTTGGGTTAATTGAAAAATCATCAGAGGTTGACATTTTCAGCAAATTATCTTATTGGTTGTTTTCTATGGGGTTGGTACTCAACTGGATATATTTTCACAAGAAAATAATATATTGCATAATGACAGACCCTGCGATGTATAAGATATGTGATATTTTACTGATCAGGGATGAGAATAGTAATAAAGTGCTCAGTGTTAATTGTTTAGTAGGATCCCCTCTCTTTTGGGGGATTTGAGGTCTACAGCTCCATCTTACTCGACTTGTTCCATTTTAAATCCTTGTTGCTTTAAGACATTCTTTTCTTTCTACATTCTGATTAATACCCATCAAGTTAAGAATGGCAGCAACACTTTCAACACTTTCTTCATCTTGTCTTTAATAATTTACCTGTCATGTTGATATAAGTTCCGTTCAGACAGATTTCACAGTTGAAACAGCATTTGTGGATTCCATTTTGCATTTTAGCATATCCAGCAGCACATTCTGGTGAACACAGTGCAGAAGGTACCTGAACAAGAAAAACTGTTAAGCATCCAAGTAACCCAAAACAAAATCCTGTGAAGGATTCATTCCCTAAGAGAGAAAGTACAGCTTTTACTTCTCCCAAAAGGATTTAAAAAAAATATTTGTATTTCTTCTTTTACCTTTTTTTTCAAACTTGTCTACATAATAGTATTGTATATTCATTACTTTAACTAAATCATTTATTTTTTGCCCCAGTTCTTACCTCTATCCGGATGTAAGCACAATAAATGCAATGAAAAAACTTAAACCCCTTGAATGTGTATTTGTCCAATGGAGCCGATTCTGTTTCAAATTAATCAAAGTGTACTGTTTAAAGCTATATACTGTACTTAAAGAACTGCATTTGACCATACACTTAATAACAACTTACTTCTCCCTTTGTGTACCACTGGATTCTACTGCTGTTGATGAAGAAATTGACTGGAGTTTGAAATTTGTGAAAGCCGATCTCCTCTGCATCACCACTGTTATTCCAAAAAACGATGGAATAGGATCCAAACTTGGGGTCACCATACTCATCAAACTCAATACTTTGGTTTAAAAGTGTAAACTTTAGCTTCTTCAGCTCTGCAAGGACCTGATGTAAGTACACAAAATTCAAATCATTGGCATGTGTTCATGAAGGAATTATGATAACGTCTGTGTTGAATATAAATGGAAGGAGAAGTGTGAATTCCTGCAAGCATAAAGAATAGTAAAGTATTCCTTCCTGTTTCTTTCCTGCAGAGATTTTAATATAGTTCATATCATTACTATCAACATGTTACACTTACTGGTGAAAAGATGAATATGCTATATTATAAATAATACAGCTGTGATGACAAAACCTCTTTCTCCAATACTTGAAACAACTAAGACGTGTGGTCTACAGTTTATGCTTTCATAAAAAAAATTGTTTTTAATGTATTAATGATGTGTATACTTGCCATGTGTGGGTACAATGTAGTATTGCGATTACAACTGTCGGATCCACATTGCAAGGCCTTGTGTAATGCATGTGCGATGGCATACACAGCAGAATACACAGAAAAGGAGTAAGATGGGTCCACAGAAATAACCGTCTCTGCACTCAGGCCACTGCAGTTGCAAAACTGATTACAAAACGTGCTTTCTTCTGTGTTGATGATCGGTTCAGAGTCACAATGAGTCTTGCTTTTGGTTGAATAGATAAAATCACTGAATCCAGGTATCGACACTACTGGTTGAGAAATTCCAAGTACAGTTCCAATATGTTGTATTCCTTCCTCCTTAGGAAGCCACTTGTTTAAGGACCAAGTGTCACCTGCTATCCACACCTTGTTTGTGATATTCAGTTTTATGGCTGACATAACAAGATCTTCAGCGGTTTTCCTTGGAACGAAAACAACAATGATGACGTTGATCCTCTGAGCCTCTATCTGTTTGAACATTTGTGAGTAATTTGTTTGGTAGTTGATACTTTTGGTGTATGCCAGGCAGATCTCAGTATCCTTGATCCTCTTTATGAAAATGTCCAGTCCATTAATGCCAAAATCATTATCAGTGTTAAGAAAAGCAACCCAGCGCCAGTTGAAGTGCTGTATGATGTTAACAATCACGTCTATGATGGCTGTATTGGAAAATACTGTTCTTAGGAAAGAGGGGAATTTTGCCTTTTCTGAAAAGAAAGAACTACCAGCTCCATAACTGACCTGTTTGAAGGGAAGTAGATAGAATACATGAATTCTTTTCAAGGTACACCCTGTTTCAAGAGTACAATATATGACATTTTTCAATACCTCTTATGAATTCACAATTTAATTTCTACATTTTTGGAAAATTGTGCAAACACCGTAAACACTTACCATAGGAATGAGATCCACCATGAAAAGTGGTGCTACAGTCGTGATGTCAGTGCTGGTATAAGGGCCAACTACTGCAATGACATTGGGTACTTTAGACAGATTTTTGATTGGTTCGCTCCAAGGTTGAATCAAGCCATTAACTGAGAGGAGTTTGAAAAGTCCTGGGAAGTTTAATGTATTTGAGCAGTGGTCAAATATCTCATAGCCAAGAGATACATTTGGCAGCAGGTTGGTTGAATTATTAATTTCCTCAATAGAGAATCTCATCAACTGAAACCTCCGATAACTTGTAGGATCAAAGCTTTCACTGCGGAAAGAGATGGGACAGCTGAAAAAGGCTTCAGACCTCTATGAAGATGACATGTCATACAGCAGCTCTAAAGTGAAGCAATTCACTAGATTAACTCAACGGTTGGGCTTTTACATGTTTCACAGTGGTATATGATGTTTTTGCATTTAGAGTTTGTCTATAGTTTGGAATACATCAGACTCACCTGGTACAGTCGATTGCTTCAGGTCTGTCATTGTAAGCAGGGTCGAGGACATGATGAACATCAAAAATTCCACCCATCAGATAATCTCCTTCCAAATTAAACTCTGAGGCGTGGATAGTGCATTGTGGCAAAGCATGTAGAAGTTCAAGAACACATACAAAAGTAAGAGCATGCATCATTGTTGTAATTTCCAGTCTGATGTGAACTCTTATGGTACATCTACCTTTAATAAGCAATGCATTGCTTGAAATGGAAAAGCCACAGAGTTCATTTACATGCACTTGAATGCATGGCTTCCGATGCTATACATACTTGTGGTTGTGGAGAATACACAAATCAGTATGCTCTCCCTCCTCTATGGTGACCCTACATTGAATTTATAAATTATAATAAGAAAGTTATGGAGAGCTTAATTTAGGGATCTAGAAATTTAGGGAGGTAGTTTAAATTGGCAGCAAAGGTTGAGAAAACTGGATTTTCAGATTGGAGCTCATGTCACTGCAAAGCATTGAGTACATAGAGGGAGGCAAAGGGAGATGGCAAGGACGAGAGCAGCATTTCTTACTAATATCTTAAAGTTAACTAAGCAGTTCCTTGGCGAAAAGAGAACCAACCCGCTTGAAGTGCTTCAGAGATGCCATAAACAACAATGTCAAGGGCACTTACAAATACTCAATAAAAGAGAAACCTCATGTTCCATAATAACATTTGTTACGGCGTTCTAAACCAAAATAATTAAACCATCAACAACATGGAGACCGAAAACATGGGTACACCACACAAATTGAAAGATTTAAACCCAGTGCTTTATTTGCACAAATTCCCCCCAAAATACTCAAAACATAAAGAATAATCCCAAGAAAACAAAAGGGACTGCAAACCCCCGGCCAAAAAGAACAAAAGATGAAAAGCTGCTGTGCCAACAGTAAAACTGCCTAAGAAGTAAATTAACTCATAATAATAATAATATTTGGGCAAGGGCATGAGGACCAAATTTGGGCTTTGAAGGTGAATTAAGTTATTTTGATTTATATATCATACCTGAAATCTGAACAAACATTGTTATATCAAAATAATATGATGCCAATTTAATTTTAACTACATGTAAGAGATATGTGAAATGACAGAAGCATCAATGCCAAATCCAGCATCATTTTCTTCACTCCCTTTGACAGGCTTCTTGGTGGTTAATATTTATTGTAACAAATATTGTAAGAAGTAATAAAAAACCAAAGGTATATGAATTTATATTAAACAATGGAAAAGAAAGAGTTCAATGTTATTTAAAAAAAAGTAAGCAGCAATGTAAGCAGACTTTAGGTTGAGATAAAGATACAAGTTCAACTGGGTTCACAAGCAAATGCATGCAAACGAACAAATTAATTCAACCCAGTATGTTTGGTTTATGCTAAACTGTAGCATCCTCTTACAAATGAGCTTTGCATGGCTTAAGCTTTGGTCAGACAACTCATTTGAAAGGAGATCATTTGCAATTATTGTGTGGATGAAACTGATGGATGATCTGACCATGACCTGGTCTCCCACCAAAGTTTGAATCCTGGCAATCTCCTGAGGGAAGGACAGAACTTTAGTTCTACTTGGTAGTAAACAAAGGACCCTCATCTACAGGACAGATGGGTTATGGGGTAATTTGTAGTCAATCAAAAGTGTCAACAAAAACTTTTACAAAAGTGATGAGATGTGGGTGAAGTTCAGTTTTGGAGTCATTTTTTCTTTTCAAACTTAACATCTAAGAAATGACTTCCTAATCAATAGTGTATCTGTTAATGTGACATTTTAAACTTAACAACACAATTTGTTGACATCCACAAAGGATGATTAATACCAAAACATAATAATACAAAAAAATGATATTATGAGCCATCCACTCGTGTCAAATATTACAATAAGAAGTTATTCATAATCATAGCCCTCTGATTGACTGGCAAACTGTCTGAGGGTTACCCCAACTCTCAACAAGGTCATCTGGGATCGACTGCAGGCTGCAGATTTGAAGATTTTACTGAGTACTTGAAAAGCACAGGCAGGTCTAGCCTCTGGCACTATTGCTAGGTCCTTCTTTCTGTTATCGAGCTAAGTCACAGGCAAGGATCCACCAGCAAGACACCTTTTTTTGTTCAGACAACTCAAGATAAAAAAAGAAATTTCCCTAGTAGAAAATCAATTCAGAATGACCTGATAGAGGAATTATGCATACAAAATCAGTGTTATCTTTTAAATCAGTTCTCTAAACACATCTTTTCAAAAAGTCTTCAATGTATGTCATCCTCTTGTATATTTTTCTCCAATATTTTGATATTTAATACAAACTTTTTTTTTTTATCTCACTGTATTGCTGACTTTTGGTTTATTAGTTACACTTCACTTATACCTCACATATCACCAAAAAGTTTATTTTAACATTTGTTTCTTTCATTTTTGTTTTATTGTTTTAAAAGTGTTATACAAATCAAACTATTATTATATTATCATTTCACCGTACAGTGCATCTGGGAACTAGGTAAAGTCATTTGAAATATTTGAAGAATGCTCTTCTTGAAGGTATTAAAAACATTGGGAATACATATTTGTTACCTCATGAGTAGCTAGTTAAATTTCAAATAAATAATATTAATATCTATGCAACACACTAGTTGTATTTACCTGTTTTCTGTTTTGACTGTTTTAAAACCCTAACTATATAAAAGGACTGCTTTAAAAATAAAGTATTTCTTAACTTAATACTGTTTTTTATGTACAAACCAAGTCGATGGACTCTGAGCACTCTTCTAATCTCTTGCTGTACTGAGGTGTTGTCTTGTTTGTCATCAATTTTTGTTCTTAAGTTAAAGACAATTTCCGCATTGTGGACAAATAAAGTTCTATTGTTTGCCCATAGTGCAGCCTGTTGACAACATCCTGGTGAAGTGGTGCCTTCATGTGGTGACACTGGTGTAATAGCAGCCTCACATTATAAAGGAATCTACTAACTGTCCAAGTGTTATGAAATGACTCCTACCATCCTATAAACTGCTGATGCATGCACATATCTTAAGGAGTCTGACTTAATTTAAAGCACGTGCAATTACATCGAGTTTCAGGTGGCTGTTAAACAAAAAAATACTGTACTATTAAATTCCTTTTTATTGGTTTAGCACATTTCATACAGGGGTTGAATTGGACGGTAAAAGAAAGACCAGTTGTATGGTCCTTTAATGGTGCTGAACATGCTTACAGGGAAGAACATTCTCTGAATCATTTGAGAGTTTCACATCTGAAAAAGTCTGCATTTTCCAGGGTGTTCAACATGAGTGAGTTCTGGGTCCACCGCTATTTCATTCTATAAATTCCCTGTCTTGGCACCATCAAACACACTTGCTGGATACACTTCAGACGTCAACCTCTGAATGTCTCAGAATACATCACAGCAAAGTTAAACTAAAAACCCTGATCATGATGACAAAGGCAAGAGATTGTATCCATGTTATCATAATATGCTCCTAAACACAGTTCAAATATCAGGAACCACCGTGTTATCATTAGGCCAACCTTAACCTTCAGAATCACTTCAAAGGTACTACAGAATAGCACTGCCTGAACATTTTTTTTTTTTTTTTTAAATCCCTGATAACACAATCTCCATTTGGACAGATTTCCAAATTGATGCAGCAGCTGTATTGTTTTGCACATGGACACAGGACATTCTGGGGAAAGGTGACATCGGTACAACAATGTTGGTAGAAGTACAGTAGTTGAATTCCAAAAGAATACCCTAAGGGGGGGGACATGAATAAAGTAGCAGTAATTAGGTCCGATCAACTTTAACTAAAAAGTTATAAAAAGGGTTGTTAATATGTTGCAAACATGCACATGGCGGATACACCAACTCAATACTGAAGGCAGAAATCTAATAAATGTTTACACATGATGGTGATGAATGATTAGTCCACAATAAAAATACAACCTAAACTAGTCAAATGATTTAGTTCATGAGAATTTAAAACCATTAGCATCGTCCAAAAGATACCATGCCCCACTTTTGCATGTGATTCTTGCATTTCCCCACGGAGACCCCCCTAACTGGGGAAAAAGTTTGAGTGTCAATTTCCAGAAGTAGACATGTGATGGCATCTTAAGCCCCGATAAAATTTGTTATCCATTGTTCTAGAAACATTCACCATTAATGGTTCTACAAATTATAAAGCTGAGACACTGGCATACTTTCTGAAGGGATACGGCCTCTTTAATAGCATTTGGAGTGAAAAATTACACTTAAGTTAATAAAATCAAGTTTTTGTTTATAACTTTAGCACAAGAAAACAATAACATGCAATCCATGAGAAACATGTTTAATTGATCAAATCAAGAAACCAAATTTATCAGTTCTGCTATCATTCATTTCAATTGAGATGGATTTAAACACTTGGACACAGTATGGTGGTTGGAAGAAAAAACAAAAATAAAAATAATCTCTAAATTTTTTCATAGTTTAAAATATATATATACACACAAATCCTCCAGACAATCCTTTGTAACACAAACTTTGTACAGAAAATGTTTTGATCCCTTACAACAGTGCTGATCAAAGTTTATGATAACAGAAAATCCCCAGCATTCTGATAAAAAAAATGAAGAAAAAAAATTAACAGGAATAGAAAAAGAAAAAAAAATATTGTGATCGCCACCCACTTCATCCATTTCTTACAATAAAAGCTTTCAATCTCTGTTTTCTTATGTTTCCTCTGAAAAAGAAAGAGAACAAAAGTTTGCTTGGAATGACTATATATTTTCCATGTTTGTTTTTTTTCAAAGTATACACAGATTTGTTAAGGACTACAACAGCTAGACTACACAAATCAAAAAGACCCCAGCCTTTGAAACAAAGATGGAGAAATGTTTCAAAGAGCAAAGGCCACCTGGGTACTATGAAATTGCTCGTTCTTTGGACCCTGTTATAAATTGGACTCTAATACTGGTTTGCTCTTTGAGCACAGGGTGCATGTTTAAATCTGTACACATCAATGATCAGAGGTAAAGTTTGAAAATTGACTCGTCATCCGGGGCTAAATGTCCCCTTAAAATTATTTTGAAATTTGGTTCACAGGGGTGGCAAAGCACAAAGAATCCCATCGGTTAAACTCGATCTAGGCGCAGAAGAAGAAAACTGATTATGACTGTATGCTACAGGAGACGAAACTGATTGTGTTAGTGACATTCACTGTAAATAATGCATTCAGTGAAGTGTTGTTTGGCTGAAAATGTAAATGAGGTCATTGACCATCAACCATCTGAAAGCTTTCTTTAGGATCCAGATATACACAGATGCATTTACAAATGACCATGAACCCCAAATAAACACAACTGAGTGTTTTTATTTGAACTGATGAATGATGTTGAGGTACACCTCATTGCCTGTCTTGAATGCATTTCCAAGTGAATATTGACTGAATCTCCAATCTGTCTATTTTTTAGTACAGAAGACAACTTAAAGACTGTCATTTTCTTCAGGTTTCATCTTAAATATCTAATCGTGTTATCGTCTATCGACACTACTGACTTTCAGTGTATAATGTGTTACAAATAAGTCGGTACCAATATATTAATCAAAAGTTGGCAGATTTATTTCACTTCAGAGAAAGAATTATACGAGAATCCCCATCATTGAAAACGAGAAAAAAAAAAAGAAAAACAAAGAAAAAATTCACAAATCCCACCGCACATATTTTGAGAGTGGTTCCTTGTTGATGACTATATACTTACCCCTTGGGGTTAAAAAGGTCAAAAGGCAGCACAGAGTCTCACCTACTACGGAACAAACGCAGACCAATCCTATAAATAGGATTTTGGTCCTAAAAAAAAAATCAAAAAAAAAATCCTAACCCCTTGAAAGAAAAGGCAATATCCCCAGAATCATTTGATCTGTGCTGCTCATATCCTTATCCAACACTGTGAACCATGGATCAAAACTTGTTTTTTTTCATGTCATGTTTTCATGTTACTGTCCCTCTTACAAAAAAAAGAATATAAATCTCTAACCTGTGTCACTCCCCATTGGCTGTGACAGATACATTTTAAATGAGAAGGAGGGGAAGGGTAGGTGGGAGTTTTTTTAACTAGCAAACGGTTTCCCTGTGTCGTCCTTGCCTTTGTATGTCCTCTTTCCATGTGTGAACGGTAGGTACCTGTACTTCACCATGTGCTAGAACAGATAGAGAAAGAAGAGGTGAATTAGTAACAGTCATTTCTGGGTTTTGCTTTAACATTTCTAAACAAAGTACACCTAATTTAATCCTACCAGGTAGCTTAAAAATAAAAAAATAAATCACTGTGTTGTATAAAGGTTTAAAGTACTGCACTCAAAGAAACAGCAGAATATAATGTAGTCAAATAGATAGGCTGCTCAAACATAAAGCTTAATGGATGTTGAGATGATACACTTGGTTGGGTCGTATCTACTGTAATATGTGTCCCTTGTTTTTATATTTGGGATATGTAAAAACACTTTTGGGATTAACTGCAGTGTGTGCATTACATTATGACTCTCATAAAATTTCAGGATGAATGGGTACACTGCAGATTACATTTTTCAGTGAATGAACACTTTTTTTACCTTGATCTGCCGCTTCATGGTGATGCAGAAGAGCATGATGAAGTACATTACAAGTATAGGCCAGAACACTGGCACGTTGAAGGCATCGAAAAATGTGCAAATCATGGCGATGACGATGCCTTTTGTTGCTGAATGCCTGTCGAGGAAAAGAACATGAGCTGAGTTAAAACATTTTCACCACAACTCTAACCTATTGTAAGTAAATAAAAGCGTTGTGTGTGTCCTCACACCACGTAGAGCACGTTTGAGGTCTGTTTAACTTCTCAGCTTTAACTCTGCCCATAAACACGCAGAGCAAAGAGTAAAAAACACTGTATGATAAGTTGTGTTGGGCAGAGAGCAGTTATAACCACTGCAGCAATCCTGTCATGGCAAAAATGGTAAGCGCCTCCACCAAATGTAAAATCAGCATTGTTATAGATTTAATCATTCATTGGTGTTTTTCATGGCCAGGTGGGGCTTCAGCCATATATTTTTTGCCCTGGCACAGCTCTAGACTTAATGATATTTCTTTAAGGCATCACTTGGCCAGAGTAACTAAAGGAAGGGCGTTGTCCTCCTGTTATGGTCGCTACTGTTATGCTTACTTTTTCAGTCTACCTATCCTGTAATGGCTTTGAGAAACCCTAAAGGAAAATGCCACACTTAACACACTTAACCAAAACCCTAACCCTCTGCAAGCATGTATGAAAACATTGTTTTAATACCATTTTTTTTACCAAGAGGTATCCAATCTCAGAGAATACTTATAGTTCAACCAAATATGTCAATTGACTGGAAATTAGTAGTAAGTATCTTTGTTTTAGCAACATTTCTACCTCCTTTCACAAATACACTCTTCAGTGAAACTCCATCTGCATACAGTCATTTGACTCACCAGAATTTGAATTCAGGCAACCTCCTGATAAAAGGGCGGAACTCCTCATTCTGCTTGGTGGGAAGGGATGGGCCCTCATCTGCATAAGATATGAGATGATGAAGAAGTTAAATAAAGAGGAAACCTTCAATCTTCATTTAACAATGACAGAGGCGAAAGATTACTAACAAATTAGCATAGCTAACACAGTTACATTTTGTTCTCTGTTCATAGAAGATCTGTTTGTGAATGTGGTTTTCCTTTCATTTCCTGTTTAAATTCAAAAATCATTGTGGGATTCACACTTCCACAAATACATCATATGAGTAAGTAAAATAGTACTCGTTTTCTTAAGAGTAATCTGAACAATGTTTTGAAAGAGAAGCATTCTTAGTAGGATGATTTGACTTTAAATGAATTACTATGTAGGATAATTGTAACTATTTAAAGGGATACTTCACCAGTTAAAACATGAATCTGTATTGACATTGGGTCATATATGTAGAAATGTGAAATACATTTTGAAGTTGGTGCCTTCTTGACCGAGAAAAGGCAGAAAGTGTCTTTTTGCCTCATGTGGATAAAAGACAACAACTCCCAGAATGCATAGCAGATCTTGTGCCTCCTCCATCAGCCTCAACTGCTCGTCGCTATATTGCGGCTTGTAGAGATAGCCATTAACATCCGATTCGAGCACAAGACCTTCAAAGTCCCCTTCATCCATATCAGTTTGAAGTTGAAACATACTTTTATCAAACTTTCATTCTTCTCACCTTTCTCCATAGAGTCTGTTAGCATAGCTACCAAGCAAGATGGCAGACATTGCTTTTTAGATTCTGGGAGTGAGGTCCCACCCACTGATCTGTTATTGGTCTGTAGCTTCAGTGGGTCCCATCCTCTATGGGCGGGTTGAAAACATGAGGAACTAGTGATGTAGTTTCACCCCCTCTAACCAAAGCAGCCTCTGATGACGCAAAATCGGAGGATCCTTTTCAGACAAGAAGAACGGAGCTTTCCTGTCTCAGGGGAAAATGAGGGCCGGATGCACGACCATTCAAAAATACTACCAGGTTTCTAATGATACAAAGCTTAATGCAAATGGCCAAGTATCCCTTTAACATCCTAATAGACAGGCAGTTAACAGGACAAGTTTTAACCCACAGCCAGGAAAATAACACAACTGTGTTACAAAAACTGGATCTGTTTAATCGAGTGTACTTGCCTTCGTCAAGCATTGAAGGATCCACTTTTGGTGATAGAAAAGCAATGAACAGATTGAGATGGTAGATTCCCAAAGCATATGTTACTATATACCAGCCCTGAAAAGAAACACACAGGAAATACCATTTTACAAGACTAAAATGACATGTTTGTTGGTAATGATGCAATAAAGAAACATCCACAACATTTTCTTGGAGTGTTTCCTAAGTAAGTATTTCCCTTTTGGAGCAACAAGCTGTCCAAAACAGGACAAAATACTGCTAAATATTTACACCAGGGGGAAGAACTCTTCTCCACTTGGACAATCCTCAAAATAATTGACGTTTCAAGAAAACCAAACATTAAACTGTGATGGTTGACATATTCTTAACTCTCAGTACAGAAGAATACATATAAATAAAGAAAGAAAATAAATTACCTGTAGTATGTACACTCTGATCATGTAGACAGCAGCAAGTAGAACAGTGCCTACCCATCGCATCGCGTAGAATGGCGTGGACTTGTCTAGCCATGACTGATAGACCTTTTAAAAAATAATATAAAAATAGAAACAAACCACAACATTAAGCTGTTATTGGTTAACATAATATAATACAGAATGCCAGGTATTGAGATGGGGGGATTATATTCTAATTTAGTGTCCCCTAACCCCAACACCAGCATCTACATTTGGACTTATCCTACCTCATTTTTACATTTGTAAGATGCATTGTTTACCTTTTTTATCAGCACCACTGACACAACTGTGAGGAAAAAGGCTTGAGGAGTACAGAGTGATCACTGTAAGAGTCCAATAAGTGATCAGAGCCAGATTACAGGAGGCAAGGAAGGTACTGCACATGAACAGTGTGCTGCTTTTTACAGACAGTGTAACTAATCTAATCTACTACATATATACTATACCAAGGACATATACAAACCAAAAAATGGCACTACAATTATTGATCTGTTTTTTTAATAAAACCAAAGTTTAATCACTCTCAGAAAATATCCTCAGTGTGATGTAGAGGACTTCCAATTTGGTGTAAGCCTCTACTTGTGATGCTATTTGAAGGAAACTTGAAGATGGACACTGTGATAACACAGGAATACTTGTTCTTTAACATCCCAGTACAGAAGTATGTCAGAACATAAGATGGGTCATAACAAACTCATTCTCTATAATTTACAACACCTGCGTATTTGATCTGAATGAATCATTTAAGCATATTGGGAAATGTAAAGTTTTACTTTGCCTCGTTTCAGGCATATAGCATATACAATCCATTTGTAGGCTCTCCACTAGAACATCCTTACTTGAGAAGTTATGATATAGAGCTGAACAATATTCTGTTTTACCATCGCAATTTCGACTGAAATCAACTGTGCTCTAAGCTGTCGAGTGACCTCAAACATTTCATGTTGCCAGTTAACTGTTGTTTGATGCAAAACAAAACTGTCAGTTTTATCGTTTTTCATGACTTATTTCACCATCAAGAAGACAGAGAACTGACCACTGTGCATGCAGAGTCTGTATGTTAAATTGTACAGGCTACAGGTGATGCTGCTACTATCTGAGATACCATGGCATGACACTCAAAGCATTAGCTTAAAAACAGATTTGATATGAGCATAATCTTGCTATCAGCAGCACATTAACCCACTGCTTGTTAATGCTGTGGTCACATATACAGATATTTATATACCTGCAGCTCACATGGTTGTGTGACTCACACGTAGCGCAAGATAATGAGCATTCAATCACAGGTTAAGATTTGAAATCCAAAAAAATTACTTAAATAACAAAACATTGTTTAATTAAATGATGTTTTATTTTTCTGGTGTCATTTTTCTATAAAAAAAAATACAATTTATGTCACAGAAAGAACAACTATTACAATGTCATATTTTTCCACTATAGTGCTGCAGGCCTATTAATATATATATATATATATATATATATATATATATATATATATATATATATATATGTGTGTGTGTGTGTGTGTGTGTGTGTGTGTGTGTGTGTGTGTGTGTGTGTGTGTGTGTGTGTGAGTGTGTGTGTGTGTGATGTAGGACAAGAACAATTTACCTGGCCAACCCGTGTGAAAAAGGCAGCAACTACAGATGGTTTCCCATGGATTGACTCCCCAACACTGTCCCCTTCTGACATTCTGGCATTAAAGATAAAATAGGAAACATTTTGATTAATACATGTATAGTGACTTTGGATAAGTCTGAGTGAATCAGACTTGATAATTCACAGTATGCTGTACCATTACATTCATTGTATGAACAGAACAAGCATCTTCATCTCATCGGTATTTTGGCTGATATATCAATTCAATTCAATGACTTAAACATAACGAGTTTCCAGCATAAACTTTATAGTTTTTTGTGAATATATACATTCCATTAATCACTTTAGCTGTTACTCATTATCTTGGTTAGTAATGTTAACAATATGTTGGAAATAATATGGAAATTAAAAGCAAGTGGACCAACACCAAAACTACAAAACCACCTGAAGATGTCTTGTTTCTGGCCTCAACTATAATCATAATGCGGTACTTAAATGGTGTGAACTAAAAAGTACAATGCACAAGAAGTGTTATCATGAGGAATTAATGGTTGGCTCTCCTTCAAAACGTGTATTTATTTGATTGTATAATTTTTCAAAACAATCCACCCATCTGCAAGGCAATAGTCCCAACTTGGTCAGAAAATATGGATGATTTGTCTCAGTTATTAACTGCTATAAATACAAAAAATATATATTTATATTAATTATTATTCAAGATAAAATACTTGTATGTATGTGAGAGCCGATTATTGTGGCTTCAGAGTTCTCATGGACAGCTGTCGGTCAAAACCAGGAAACAACATAAATGTTACATGGGGGTGGCCATAAAGATAACAAATACGGAGGTAATAATGAGATCAAAATGTTATTCTCACTTTATTACTGTCAACAAACTATGGTGACCTCACTTATTTCTAACCGACTGAAGCATTACCTTTCATTTCACTTTCAGACCTTTTAGAGATACATTGAGGTCGAAACAGGTAGATCATGAATTATCAAGGCAGCGTTAACTGATTCTTCTAATGAGTAGTTTCGGTCATGTTTCAGCCTATTTGATTACAATTTAAATTTAAATCTAATATGTTGCAAGTGATGTTAGCTTGAATTGGAAAAGACCTCGAAGAATTGTCCGTGGTCGATTCTTACGTTAGCTGACTAACTAGCTAACCGGCTTCGGCAGAAGAGAAAGCAACTTATAGGTCGTCTTTTTTTTTTTTCAAAACGGGCACTCTAGGAAAATTATATCATTGCTACGACTGAACGCAATAATTCCATAACTGTTCGAAGTGTTTCGTCTGGGATATTATTGTGTAGTTACTCATGTTAGCTAACAAATTAGCCTCCAAGTAGCTCACTAGCCATATAAATGTATATTGCCCTTTGGCCCATATTTCCGCATCGATGGGTAATGTAGTTTAAGTAAAGCTTTAGTCAATCACCATTGCCCATTAGATAAACTTAAGTTAACTTCATCTCCCATAAAGCCATAGAAATGAACACTAAAGGCAGACACAATAAATGTAGTTCATGGCCCGATATACCTTAACTGCATCCCAGCGTAACAAGACAACTGAGAACTACAAATACCAGCAAGAATAGTAATAACTTGACAGCTCACATCCGGTGAATCGGTCCTGCGTTGCCAACGACTATAGCTAGCTAGCTAGTCCAATAAGAAATCAAAGTTCTATAGTAATCAGATCGGTGCCTAATGAATTATATAATCGCCAATATGCCCATTTTAGTGTTACTCGCCTTTCTATATTATGTGTGTTTCAGTTAAAGATAAATAAATAATTTGCTGTCCTTTCTTACCTGATACGGCCGCTGTGTCACTACCCGGCTCTACCTAGCTAGCTAAACTAGCCCCTCTTGGTGTTGAACACGTCAGTACTTCCGTGAGGGTTCGAACATGCGTCAGGCATGATAGTTGAGCACAGAAAAAGAGGAACTTCCCAGCATTGATAAGACCATTTGAGGCTTTAGAATTTAGATAATCCCGTTGCAGCCTCTCGGCTCCTTCTGTAGTTCATTGGCAGTTGGAAAAGACCACTACAACAATTTTAAATATTGTCTGGACCTATGTGACCAAACCCTATCCTTAACTTAATGTCCTCCTTTGTGCTACCAATTCCTCATACATTTTTAAATGTTATCAGCATACATATATCCATCCTTTACATACATTTGTTTTAGTTCTTGAATTGATTGTAATGGATTTTTCACTTGCTCTATTTTATGACCACACTTAAATACCATTATCTTATCCCTCCTTTATGTTACCTGCAAGTTAATTTTACAAACTATTTTATTCAATTTCAGCATTTCCTTCTATTAAATGACATGGTCAGCCACTGCTTACATTGACTTCAAAATATATCCAAAAGTGTACATTTTCCAACATGCTTAGCGTCATTCTCACTTCATTTACCCTTAAAAAACGCTCATAGTACTTAATCAAAGTGTCAGGCTTTTCCCACCAGGTGTACAATTTCCAACTGGGTTGTGATTCCAAATTTGAATGTTTCTTTAACTGACTTTTTTTGGTCATTCCTATTTCAATCTCTAGTCTAATCAATGACCCCTTGATACCATTTCTTTTGTCATTCCTATTTCAGTCTCTAACCTAATCAATGACCCCATGATACAGTAAATAACTTGTTAGAGCGTATCCCCTAGAAGCCTGTGTGGTAATCATTTTTGTTATCTTCTTTCCATTAGCTTGCATGTGTGTCATACTAGTGCAACTGACCTACAGTTCAGACCCAGATTTGTAATATTTCCCCTTCCACACTCAGTTTCTTGCCCATAATAAACTCCAATCCTGTATTTTAGCATGCCTATAAACCCCTCTATCTCACCCCTTCTCAGAACTGTTTCTGTGTCTAGCTTTAAATGTAATAGCTGTGTTCGATTACACCCCTCTGGAAGGGGATGTGGCTTGGACTTTCTTGCACCATGCCTTATTGTTTACGGTGAGCTGGCAGACAAAAGCAACATACACCTAGCTGTGGGAGTGTCAACCACCTGGGGGAGGGGTTACTTCCCTTTGTGATGTCACAAACCAAAAATCTCCAAACGGCCTGTTTGCACACATTATCACACATTATCTGAAAAGTGGAGCAGGCAAAAGACAGAGAGGATGGACTTTTCTCATAATTTGGGGGTTTGTAGACAGACTAGCGACACATACTAGAGTTAGTAAAACATGGTAAAATGTATTTTGCATAATATGTGACCCTGAGACTCACTCTGGGATTACACTACATCATATCTCTGTATATGAGAGCGGAAAGTAATCACTGTCTACATAGCTGTCATAACAGTTGCTTACTCCAGTCAATGGTTTAGACAGACGTGTATACTCACTAGCTATAAGCTCAACCTTTTATATGGATATTCATTTATTCACTTCCTCCCCTCGTATACAGACTTCCACCGCTTTGTGTCCCAATAACCTTCTTTTTCTCAAAACACTAAACCAAATATCTTGCTTTATGAGTGTAGCACACTGTTTCCTCCCTCATGAACCCTGTCATACTTATCATATTATGTGCACCCTAAAGTGGATTGTTGGTTTTTACCATGTTTCTGCAACACATAACAGTACTTCATTCAGCTTCACTGCCATTTCTTTAATTCAATTTTGTTCCTACACCTCTGGCATTTTCATTTGTGAGAAATACCATAATTGATATGAACCAATCCATGATGCTTCCTGGCTTCACTAATTCAAGAGGTTAAAAAAATACTGTTTATTTAATTTTAACTTAATATGACAAACCTGATATACAGCACACAGCAAACGACAACAAAGAACAACAGAACACAACACATAACCAGTGCCATGACAAGAGATATTGCATCTTATATTTGCAATATAAAAGACAAATAAAAGTTGATGTGAAAGAATAGATAATAAAATACATTTTATGTAGGCCATCCAAGGGTCCCATGTCTTATGAAACAGCAATGTGCTACCTCTAATGGCATAGGTTGTTTTCTCTAAAGGTGTGCATGAATGAACCTCATCTATTGTGTAATATCATGGGGATCTTCATATTTCCACAAAGGTCTTGCTTTTTTTGGCAGCTGTAATGGCAAGCTCAAAAAACCCTTTATCCCTTGAGAGGGCAGGTTCTAATCATTCAAGTCAACCAGCATTGCAATCACATATGATCAGGAAATATCTTGTAATAATACCTTGCCAAGAATATCTCAATCCCTTGCCACAACAGACAGTTTAGAGCAAGACCACACCACATGAACAGTCTCTACCTTTCAGTGGTGGCAGAGAGAGGATGAATCAGTTTTAATACGGCTCAGTCTTTTGTGTGTAAAATATGCTCTATGTCTAACCTTGTAATTGCATAACCTATGCCTGGTATTAATACAGATTCTCTGTTATTGCTCGTTAATCATGCTCCAGTGTGATCTGAATATCCAGGTCCCTTTCCCATCTGTCTTTTAGTGCCTATTGACCGATAGTTTTTTTTTTTTTTTTTTTTTTTTTACAAATTGTATATTTGTGATATGTGTTTACTAAGGTAGTCCTTGAATAATAAAAATTCCAGTTGGGAGTATATTGGCTTCTTCAAAGAGCTTCCCTGTTTGGATTGTATGTATTGTTCTAGCTGTAAAAATCAGAAGTGTGTGGCTGGAATTTGGTAGTTATCCCTTGAATCCTCAAATGACCTCAATTAATATTTTTGGTTGTGAAACAGTAAGGGACGTCGGAAAGGTCTTGTATCTTGAGTATTCCCTTTAATTTTGGTCCACGCTGGACACTGGTCCCTGGTCCATTAACATGGTCCATTAACTGCTCCATTAACACAAGGGTATAATTTGGGCAGCCCAGTAATATAGTACTGGGTCTGTAGTACTATACAACCATGCATTTTCAAAAGGTAATGCTATGGGTCCTTCTCTTTATTCACTTTATATTAAAGCAAATAGTAAGGGGGTCTTGTAGACTGACCAATGGGAAAGGAATCTGATTTTGTGCAATTTGTACTCACCCTGGCTTTTGGGTAATCATAGTTGAGTTTTATACGGTTAATGAAATATTTACCAAAATCAAAATTCTCTAAAACCAGGACTGATTGAACGCCTTTTCAGCACTAAGAAACACCGTTAAGGTTGCTCTGACTGCTTCGCTTCGGATATAAAAATTACGTCTTAGATTATTGGTTGCCTTGCAATTTATGTTAAAGCTGGTCTGGTCTTTATTTATCATTAAAAGGAGATATTTCTGCAGCCTAAGAGCTATAACCTTTGCGATAAGCTTGAAACACAGTTTGATTTTCCTGACTCTCTCCCACAGTTCCTGCTAAAATTATTATTTTTCTACTCTAACTTTCTTTACTTGATTGTCCTGTGTCATCACTTCACATCCATCATATGCAACATTATGAGCTGGTCCACATATATCATTTTGGTTGCATCCATAATCCATACTTTCCATGCTTGAAGATGCCACAGAATTGAGCTCAACCTTTGCTTGTTATGTTTTTGGTTGTAATGCCACATTTTCAACAGTTGTCATTTAGGTTCTTGTATTCCTATTAATATTAATATAGCGAAGTGTATGGTATAGATTATGGTGACAAGAGTATATAGTAAAAGGGGAGAAGTTAGAGGTGAGATTGTGGTGACATCAGCAGGTAATGGCAGTTTACCATCATTTCCAAACCTGTCTTGTCAAATGCTGCTTAATGCTGACTTTAACCTGGAAAATATGCCTCAATGTCAAATCGTATTAAATGCAGATTTCAGACCACATCCTTTTTTTTTGAGTTGATAACGAGTAAAGGAAGTCAAATATTTTAATGTAAATGATTTTAAGAAAAAAATACTGAACTTAACAACCTCAAAACAAAATCGAGAAGTACATTATATAAGTTCACATCTTAATATAAAAAAAAAATTATCAAGGAAAAGGAATCTTACCAATAATATCAAAACAATCACTATTATTTACATTGTGGTAATATATAATACTGATCATAAGCACAAATAATCCTAACTATTTAACTTTTAAAGCATTAAAGTGCTCTTTCTTTGACCAGTTGGGTTAGAGTATTTGTGTCTTTGAGAGTGAGAAGACATCCATTTAAAAAAATGGCTGAAAGTCAATACAAATCACTATCATGGTACAACGTCATGAGGTTACTCCAAACACATTACACCATTACTATAATTATATCATGATTTATCCTGCTGAACGGCAATCTAGAAATCAAACTGGAATGTTGCTATAAAATATCCACAAACAAGTGGCATGAAAAGACTTAGCTACACAACCAGCTATAATCAACATGTATATCACTGTGAGGACCTTGCCCTGCAAGGTTTGTAAAATACAACAAGAAGGATGGGATTCTAACTTTTGATCTAGTGTCTTGGGGAACAGGTTTGCTACTCTTCATTTGTTATTAACATTTTTGATGAAATCCCTGCTACTAAGATATAATACTGATTTTTCTATTTCGTGTCTGTTTTGCATTTCTTTTTCTACAAAAATAAAAACAGTATTTCCTAAGTGTTAATGAAAATGATTGAATGACAAGCCTAACTTCTTCTACAATGATCTTGTAGGTTTTCATGACATCATACTTTGTAAAAGGCCCATTAAACATTATAGTTAACAACGAAATGAGAAGGACATGCTAAACTAGAGGTCATCACATTATGGCCATCAAAAGTCGACATTATGTCACTGTGATTTGATGTTACCATCCAGTTCTCTTAATGTTTTAAACATGAGATACAACATTTTGAATCTACACACCTCTTTTACAACCACATCTAGACCGAAACATTTACAAGATACAGTATATACATATAGACACAGAAAGAACAATGAATGCTCATTGTTTGTATTCCATCACAAAACTGACACTAGCAAGTGATGACATGAGGAAG